ATGTGTGGTGGTCAAACTAAAAATAGGGCAGGTTTCTTTTAGGTCCTGGACAAACATTTGAGCTCTTCAGTTTTTAGTCTGACAACAGTGAAGACATGGGAACACTGGTTTGGATTTTTATGGACTTAAACGTCAAACCAGCAACACAGTAAAAGTGCTCAGTAAAACCACCAGGACATTAATAAGACAATATGATAATGAAGACACACACACACTAAAAAGAAAGGCAACCACATACATAGATACACATCACTAAAGTAAAGATGGACAGACAGAGACTAAGAGAAAGAGGCACGAATGGGAAGTCAGAAATAGCGAGAGAGAAACGCAGGAAAGAAAGGTGATGACCAGCTTGAAAAAAAGAGGAAGCAAGCAACAGACACAATGAAGAAAGACACAGGAACAGGAAGTGTGTACCAACTGGCAGCAAGAAGAAGGAAAAACACTTCTAGACTCCTGATCGGGTACAAGTCAGTATCTGAGATCTGAGGTCTGTCTCGTAATCTCAGGTTTGGGACCCCAAAAATGGTGTCAGACCACGATTTCTGAGAGCTGATACTGTTTATCCTGATCTCCATGGTGACGCAGTATTCAACTGCTGTTTCGGGTGAAAATTCGCAAATAAATGGCAGATCATATGGAGGAGGAATGTGGATGCCTCTGCTTTCTGAAGGTGCTTGGTTTATTCAGTCACATGCAAACAAATCAAAAAACAAATCTCACTTCTTCAAGAGGATTTTTTTTTCACAACTGAGTGTGTAATTCAAACCCGCTTACGGGAAAGGACCCCAAAACACGAGGATTTATGAGGATTAAAGGTGCTGGATGTTGACATTTGATAGCCAGCACTTTCACATGCTCAGAGAACGGAGAAGAAAATGCAAAGAGCTGTACTTTCAAAACCTGTCATGTCTGACACTTCCTTCCACCTTTAACTTCTAATTTCAAAAGCACGTTCCTGTGCAATACCTTCACCCACAGCTGTCCTGCATGATTCATGAACAGGCATTTACTACACAATGAAGGGATGAGGAAACTGGAGGAAATAAAATAAGGGATCAGTTGTATAATACCATCTCTGCTCAAACTAAGTGTACTCAAACGCAGCAACACATTCATTTCTGCTTTTGTTGTGTCTCTTCCTCTTAAAAGTTCCTGACCAGAGGGTACACCTTATATAGTCATAAATAGGAATTATAGCACAATCCTGAAAGTCCAAGTAGGAATATTAAAGCTTTAGTTTATACTAAAGTTGTGCTATATGGGATAATAATGTATACAATAAGACTACCACTGCATTGCTGTAGTGCAGTATGCAGGAACTTCATAGTGTCAGTTTATACATAAACATACCATTGAGTACAGCAAGGTCACTATAAACTCACAAACCAGAGACACTCTAAGAAAAGTAAAGGGACACTGTGGTGATTTGTTTTTGTCCTAACTGTTCCACATATCAGTTGATGGAGCTCATTAATACATGTCACAGCAATCACTGTCAATTATCACTTTTCCTGTTAAAGAAACTTGTGACATCACAATAACTTTCGCTATAATTTTCTCAAGGGACTTGAGACTTGTGTCAACCTCAGATCCAGAGAAATACACAAAACTTTGGTAATCAAGATCAGGTTCAAAGTCAAGCCCAACTAAATAAGTAAAAATCAGGCCACAAAACAATTTTCAGCAACTATGTCTTCATGAAAAGGTTGTCACATTGTACCATGTGACCCTTTTATAGAGATCCTGCCATGGTTTGCTGTGACAGACAGATGTTTGGACTTTTGGAATCTTTATGTTCGGACATTTGTTTTATTTCATATTTTAATTTGTAATCACTTCCCTTGTGTGTCTCAAGTAAGATCTTTTTCCTGTCTTTGTCCTGTTTCCCTCCTTTGAGATTGTTTGCCCCGCCCTAATCTGTTACACCTGTGTTCAATCACCCTTGCCTCCCTTGTGTATTTAGTCTCTGCTCCCACTTGTCTTTGTCAGTCTGTCTGTTGATATCTTGTTGAAATCCTGTTTTACTCCTGTTTTGCTCCAGTGTTCCCTTGTTGTATCCTGATGTACTTCAGCTTAGTTCCTGTTCACCTTCATTTTGGATTTTGAGTTCTTTGCCATTTCACCAGTTTCGTAAGTTTCTTTTTGTTTATTAAAATACCTTTTTTTTTTTTTCTTTTCTTTTTTCACGAACCGTTTTATGTTGGCTACTGTTGAGTTCAGTTTTCCCCTAAACCTGACAGATCCTTCTATATTGACATTAAGAAGACCCCCTCATTGTGCCGCCTTTGCTTGTTTACACTGAACCAAACAAAGCTGGCATAATTATTTTTTTTATATAGCATGCTGACATGTAACACAACAGCGTCGACATACCGCCATGATGGCTCTCCCTTTTACACAGATGTCGATCCGGCTCTGTGACTGACTCCACTGCTGGCATAAAGGCGGAACAAAAACGGCCTACCATTCCATATTCATTGCTTTTATACACAATGGTGAGGAGGAATAAAGGTGGAACATTCCCTGGCTGTGCAAAAGAGAAATCTTCTACACATTCCACTTACAACACTAGTATTGGCCTGTGTTGCCTCAAGTTGTTGGCCTCAAGCAGAAATGAGGAGCAGGCTGTAGAGGTCTGGTAAGATTACTTCAGTCCAAATCCACACCCCAGATTTTTTCCTTTTTCAAACCTGTGATCCTGGAACCACAAAAGGCTTCATACAACTTTTTATACATATGCCCAGGACGTTTGAGCAGACTTTGGTGTGTTGAATCTGTTTTTCCCTCCCATTAAATTTGGTGCTTTAAATTGGCCAAAAAAGGCAACTGGTCGTACATCTATTGCCACTACCTGGTGCATCCAATCACATTATGCTGTCAACAGCAACGGGAGAGCCTACAACAGATGCACCAATCCAATCAGCTGAATTAGAATCTGCGATAACACTGACCTTTTATGCTAATTTCCAGCTCTATATTTTTATTCTGGGACCCCACAAGAGCAGCTTTGCATGATTCAAAGTTCAAAAAAGTCCTTATTTAATCACAAACTGCCTGTTATGCAGCCCTTCAGTTGACATTAGCTCAGGCTTCCATAAACGCTCGCTCTCTTTCTGTATTTGCACCAAAAAAAAAAACAGCATCTTCTCGACACAGCAACAGGCTAAAAACTAACCAAACTCTTCCCAGCTTCCGCTCTTACTAGCTTTGTTTGAGGGTGAGCCAAATTAGCCAGTGGGGGGGGGGGCAAGAGCATAATAAAGGCACTTTAAGTGTATCATGTATTGGCCAGATGTGAAGGATCCACATTACATACTTCTCTTGGTCAGTCATTAAATTTTATGTTTCCACTATCAGTTTCATTGACAAATGCAGCGGGCCCCCAAATAACTTTCAAGCACCATAGCATCATCAATCCTTGGCCTCATGTTACCGTACATAAAAATTATCCCAACGAGTTCCACATAGTTGGGTATACAGATTTCTAATATGGAAGAAAGAGAGCACTGGTATCAGATAATTACTTGCAGAAATAATTGATACTCAGAGAGAAAAAGTTGTATCCGTGCCCTAAAATGACATGCACAGGAATCAGAATGATTCATCCTTTAAAAAAACAGATGAAGGCATACAAATCGTCAAAACTCAATGTAGCTATCACCAATTCCAAATGTATTTTCTCCCCCTGGAAAGCAACACAAAAACAAGAGCAGAGTGCGCTACCTAAAGGTTGAAAATTTAGATCAGAAGAGAGAAGATGACAATGTAAGGTTATGCTATGCAATGTTATGTCACAAAGAACTGTAGAATTGTAAATGGAAATCGCTATAAATCATCTAGCTAGGTTAGCATTCTTCCTTTGTCAAATCTGCCTTGCCACTTTATCTACAGACAAACACAGTAAAGACAGCCTTCTATTGGATGACAGAGAAAAACTGACTTGTCAAAGTAAATCCACTCCATGGTACTGGCTCAATTCGACTCAACTCTACTCGCCTTTTTGCTTTTCTGGGAAAAAGTTGTGGATAGTACCTGATACCTATGGTACCTTTTTTTTCTTCTGAGGTTTCAGGCGAGCTGAGGCGATAACCAGAAGGTGACGTGAAAAGACTGCAGATTACTGATTGGTCTGAGAGAATCGCTACTACTGCATTATAGCTGTACGAGACTGGACATTCTGAACAAACCTGCCATTTTTACACAGCCAAGCCATTTCTGTTAGTTACTTTACTATACTTTTAGTATTGCGACCTGGAACACCACACTGCGGTCAACTGAGGAGGCATTTAGAAAGTACTCTGTGGAAGTACTACATGGTACCAAAGGCGAGTAGAGTCAAGTAGAGCAGAGTCGAGTTGGTACCATGTGGTGGAAAAACGCTATTAACAATATTTCAAGGTTCGCAAAGATTCCATTACAATGAATGAAGTTTGGTACAAACTGAAACTGTCATACATCCCAGTTTGACCTGAGCCTTTACAATTGACCTGTGTTACAACTGAACCCACTCTCCCCTATGAAGCATGCCCCTGAAAGCTTCATGGTTATCAACAGCAGAAACATTAGTCTAACAGTCATTGACTTCTTACATATGACAACTGAAAAAAGAAACACAAGTAGGAAGAAACAAAAGTAAGAAACCCCCTTTTCTCCTCTTCCTCAGTTTTCTACCAGTGAGCTGTTTGTGTGCTTTGCGCGTCCTGTTTTATGTTACAGAAAAAAAGAAGAGCTGAAGACCGAGCACTGGTCTGAAACACCCCTGCTGGTGTCAGTGTCATTAAGGAAACCGTTTAAAAGAAACGGAAAAAGACGGAAAGGAGAGAAGACAAGGGGTCACTCGACTACGACTCCTTCTCCTCCTCTTCCCCCCCAAAGACTGCCTGCCTGCCGCTCGTTCTTGAGAAGGAATCAAGGAGGAAAGAAAGGAAAGAAGGAAATGAAAGGAGGGGGTGAGGAAGGAAGGAGGGGAGGGGAGGGGAAGAATCACGGAGACCGACCTTTTCCTCAACACCGCGGAGCGAGGAAAAGCCCCGCCGCTGACTGAAGACCGGGGAAGGGGAAATTACACTGAAACCAGCACCCCTCCCCTCCCCGTTTCAAGCTCGTTTCTGCAGCCGATCAGATACTCACAATCTTGGCATTAATAAGGTCCGGAGGGCGGTATCCGCTGCGCTTTCGGAGGCACATCCGTGTGGTTTTTTTTTCTTCCTCTGCCGCTCCGCACCAGGGGGGTTTGGTGCGTGGATTTTTTTTTTATTTATTTTTTCTAAATATCCTGCTGCCGCCGCCGCTGTATCGGAAGAAGAAGAAGAACAAGAAGAAGAAGAAGGAGTCCTCCTCCTCCCCCTTCTGCTGCTTTCCTCCTGCTTGGGTTTTTCCCAGAGCTAGAGAGAGAGAGTGATAAAGAGACAGACAGAAAGAGTGTGTGTGTGTGTGAGAGAGAGGGAGAGAGATCACCGCCCTGGCGGACAGAGGCGGTGGAGCGCATGCGCGGATTCACACGTCCATCCAAGCGGGAGGAGACCCGGAGTTCTCTATAATAAAACTTTATATATAACAATTTTTATTTGTTGTTGCCAACATTTTATTGCACATAATAAAACATCATGGAGAGCCATTTAAATACCAGACCAGGACTTTTATTAATAAAAGTATCTTTATTATGTACTTTTATACTCTTTTTATTTTTAGATTTTATGCAATACTTTTTTTGTAGATTTGTTTTTTATTTATTTATATATATTCATACATTCATACATAAACGATACTGGAATCATTTGAATGTAACTTTACACATGCATATATGTCACTGTATACAGCCACCTTATTTTGGCAGGTGTATGTTTTCTGTATGGAAAGCAATTTAAATAGTATGCAGATGTTCATTTATAGAATATTAGATACAATAATAAAGATGACAAAGGTACCACGTGTGCAGTGTGTAATGAGAAAATTTCATTTTAATGTTTTATGTGCTCATATAACCACAGTACACCATGACTAATTGTTAATACTTGCACTCTAGACAAGGGCTTAAGAAATGACAAAATTCAAATGAACACAAATATAAGTTTTCATCACTATCCTGCTTTGCATGTGCACCACAGATCAGCATTAGATACACATTCAAACCGCAGAGGCCTCCAGCTTCTCTTCTCTTCTCTTCTCTTCTCTTCTCAATCTGAGTTTGTTGGGATGGGTCGTTGGTTGATAAGAAAAACACACAGACCTAGAAAGCGGGAGACAATCAAATGTAGGCTTCCTCCATGAGCTACAGTTCCTTCTTTCCAGGAATCACAAGGTTCACATGTTGAGAATCAGTACAATCAGCTTCAGCAGCCACCACTATTGTCCTTGCTCTCCCTCTCTATCTCTCTGTTCATCCATTCATCCATCCATATGGTCATGTAAGGAGATAATGAAAGTCTTGTATATTAAAAGAACAAAAATGACAATGTTTCTTGGGTTCACCTCTATGACCCCCGAGGCTGTGCAGGCCCGAGTCTGACACTCAGTGAGTGTAAAGGAAGAGTAATTTGAAGGTGGCTGAAGCTCAATATCCACCTGTCATGCTTGCTTCCTCAGGTTTATTAACAGGCTCATCTGTTAGAGGTCTTGATTTTTTCATGCTGCCTCTTGAGTTGAAAATGCTGCAACTTTTGAAAAGCTGAAGGACAAAGATTTTTTGCTCCCCTAGATGATTTCTTTGTTTTGTTGTTTGGTTATAAGTAAAAGAAAAAAGAAATCACCGTTTTCTCAGTTTAAATATACAATTAGCTGAGTTTTAACAGGGAGCATTTTATGTTGTTTGGTAAGTGACTGCTTCATATGATGTGAATGGACCAACAGCAACAGGAGGGGGCGCCATACACCAAGGAGAGAGAGGGAGAGAGAGAGGCAATCAAGCAAACAAATTATTAAAACAATAAAATGTTTAAGAATACATGGCAGGAACTTCATTCAGACACATGCATTTAACTGAATGTTAATTGAATACCATGTTCTATTATACTTCTTGTCTTGCAGAATGGCACTCCCTGCATGGGTTTAAGCACCTGATAACTGCGAGTGAAAATGTCAAAAACACACTGGTGTCTGTGTCACTTTTGTCGGACACTAAAGTGTGTCCTGCCTCATTTTCAGTCATATGTGAGTCCTGAATAAGATATCATATAATATGGCCTCTAACAATCAGCTTACTAAAAAGCTACAAGTACGTAGTGAGTTCACAGAATCAATTGCTATTGCTGTTTACAAAATCCATCATTTCACTGCCTAATCCTCTGCTTTTCATTATTTTCTTAAGGCACACCTCTCTTAAATCATGATCTTGGATCACAGGAACACTGTCAGGGTACAACAACCACTGACATCTCACCTCCCTTGAATCAGCTATATATAATGTTTCAAGAAATACCTAACTTTTGACTTTAAATACTGGGTGTAAAATGTGTTTTTGCAGTCCAGCGCTCCCTGTTGGTGCACTGCTGCAGACACTGGCCTGAGGTGGCTGTAGTCTCCACCGCCGCCTGTTATCAGAGGTTAACCTTTGATCGGTGATACAATTCTGAATCATATCTAGCAGCACAAATCTCCTCTGATAGAGGTGTGAAGTCTTATCAAATGCATTTCCACTACCTGATCTGCTGCTCTGTGTGTAGGTGACATGAAAACACTCAGAAAGGCCTTGATTTATTATGAAACTCACCAATATAACGACACAGGGCAGAAACACACACAGCTCGATAGGGCTCTCGAACAAATGTAAATAATATCTCAGGTGTTAATATGAGTAAAATGTGCTAAAATGGTGTAATGATTTAAAATTATGCAAACATGAGCGCGTCTTTGCTGTAATACAACACTGAAATCCACTGAGCACTGCCACTTGTTGAATGTGCTTTGCAGTGCTCTCTGTCACCACAGGGGGGCACTAAAGCTGCATATCAAGCCATTGATACACAGCATTTTGAGGTTATGCAGATGTGCCATTTTCTACAGACAGATATTGACCAACAGTTTCATCCAGGATGCATTTGCTCTTTGTACTCCACACGTTTGATTCATCCTCACAGAACCTGAGCTAAAGCTGCAGTTTGTATTGTTTTATAACCTTTATAACCCAGGTAAGGTCCACCCTGAATCTGTGCTATTTTGTTCATATGAATCACCACCTGAGAGCTGGCTATACAAGTATAATCTTATAGTGATTAGTTTCACTGGAGGAATCAGGGGCCTAATTGCTTTGCCTGAGGATAGAACTAGTCATTTTTCAAGAGGAGTATTTCTCATTGAGTTTGATGTCAACTTAATTTCCCTCTTCATCACACGCATGTCTCAGAGGATGTCACAGAGATCTGACTAATTAACAAAACAGCATGACTGAGTAGATTTTGCAGCAGAGTAAAATAAGGGGAGAAACAAGGAAACACAAAATGCCAGGGAAATTCTTTAATGTAAAACGTGTTAAAAGCCTGAAGCAGGAAAATTTCAAGAAGGATTTCCAGCAGTGACAAACATGACGAGGCAGAAACATGAAGCTTTGGTGATTCACCTCCACTTACCTCATTAGTTTACGTAAAACAAAAATGCGTCAGTCTGCCTGTGTCATGCCACATCTCTAAAAGGATTTGCTTAAATAAACTGTGCTGTTAAGTGTCAGGTCAAACTGTCCTGTTATCAGTTTATAAAATACAGGAAAAAATATAATACCTTTTCCAGCATGAAACCATGGTTATGGTTATGAGTCGTGTGATGTGATGTTTACAACGCCAAAGCTACAAAGCTAAAATATATCAAATTTACATTTTTAAATCTGAGGTCTAAGGTCATCTTGTCTCAGAGAAATTGAATTCAATTATGCACAGAGTGTGTCTTCTATATTTTTTTCTACCTGCAGATTTAGTCAGGTTGAAGTTGGTGCTGCAGAGGAAGAAGTGAAACCTCCACCCGTGGCAGAAAAACAGGAAACACAAACACACACCCACTCACTTTCTTACTTACAGTTTTGTCTCCAAATGCATTCACACTTCTTCACTGAAAGCACTGAAAATAATTGTTTTTGCACATTTGCTTTCCTGTAATGTTCCAAATTCCTTTGTACCGTGATGGCTGTGTCTTTCTGTTCTTCCTGTTACTGTGGCACAACAATCAGCAAGTCCCCCGCTGAGTTTTGAACACAGGCTGTAGTAAAGAGAACAGCAGATTATTCACACTGGAAAGAGCAACGTACACACATACTCACACACACTGTAGACAGAGTGTAATAACACAGACAGACCAAGAGTTTCCATCAGGAGAAGCCTTAATTCTCTAACTTGTAGTCTACAGCAGTCTTGTGAATCCAATCAGACGCCAAGAAGCAGTTTCTTCTGATCATTTGCTTGCTGAGCTCTCCTATCATTTAAAGTGCCAATAATCAATATTTTATATCATATATTGACATTGACACTGAATCAGAGTGTGGTGACGAATCTGCAGGTAATTATCATCAACTCTGCAGCTCTTCTCACCCTCATACTTTTGGTTGTACAGCACATATAGTTCAGTGTCAGTGCTCTCCTTAACCTTGTTCCTGCAGCAGCAGGCACCTGTTTTCAACAGTGATAAATCCAATATAGCACCAAACAGCAGACAGACATATTTAGCAATGAGCTGAGGAATCAAGTGGAGAAGAGCCAAATACTCCTCAGGAGCTCGTGGAGACCACTGGACTTGCATTCAACAGGTGGACAAAACACTCAAAATGAATGAGTATGAGTTTAAGTTTAATGTTTGCTAAATTGTTAGTCTCATCAGCTTTTCAGCATCAATTCAGCTCAAACCGTAACTGGATGTAAAAAGAAGCTTAAAATTGCTGTTCTTCACTGCCTTCATTTAATCATTTATTCATGCACTTTAATTAGATATTACATGTTTTACAATCTGTTTTTATGCTGTTTTCTTATTATGCGTTCTTATTTTGGTTAAGTACATTGAATGACCTCTGTGTCTGATAATGTGTTTTACAAATAAAGGTTGTGGAGTTTACCCTCTAGTGGCCACATTTTGATGAACCTGTACTTTACTTCAAGCAAAGTCATGACATAACGCACACAAAAACACACACACACACACACACACACAGAGTCATGTGAAGTAGATGTACATCGGCACATGTACTCACATACACTAATTATAAATGCAGGTTTACATAAGATGTCTTTTGATCATGTAGATGAAAGACTGGTGACCTCCAGTATGAAATCTCCAAGTCTTCGATTCTCAGTCTGAATTAATGCAAAAGAAACAGAAGTA